ATAAAATACATCATGTCCCCTTGTCCAAAGGCAACGACAGAGAATGAGAAGGCAAAAAAATGGAAAAACTTGCACACATAAACACTTGCTAGTATGAGAAAAGGTGCACACATAGGCAGCACCTTTACCAAGAAGCCCAACCTCTTGCTTCTGTACAAACCATGGTAGGACATGAGCTGGCTCGGTTTCTCTGAAGGAAACGCAGCAGGGTGTGCTGTCCTCTACAAACACTGCTCTCCAGGTTTGTTCTCAAAAAAAAAATCCCCTTCACATTGGCAGCTCTCAACACCAGATCCTTCCCTGAGGCTCAGCTGGCTTCTCTCCAGTTTCTCCCTTGGTGTCACTTGCTCTGTCTCCTGCAGCCTTTACAGGGGCTCCCCGGCTTCTCTGCAGCTCCAAACAACCTGCCACAGGAGGTGAAGGCTGCCCACGGCAACCCAGGCATGCTCGGGATGAACGTGAGCACTGCAGGTGGCTTTGCCCTGAGCAATCACCGCCTGAAAGCGACAGGTCTCATCCACACCTACTCAACTTGGTGAAGGAATCTGAGGGACCTGCCTAAATCCTTCAGGAGCTTGTGTTTTAGGAGTAACTGAGTTGCCCAGGAATATTGCGGTGCCTGTTTCTTTGCGCAATCTGTGCCCATCCTCTGGCTGGGCGCTGGGCACCCGTGCTGCAGCGGTGCAATGCCTGCTGCATCGAGGGAACGGCGTTCCAGTGCATCGGGACAGCCTTGTGCAGGACTGGACACAACCACAGCGTCTCTCAAACACTGGGCCACTGCTGCACTCACTTCTCCAGAGTCTACAAGTCTGTATGCCCCATTGCAGAGGAAGAGCATTTGCCTGAATACCTATCTTTTGCTGCAGGAAAGCAATACTGCTGTTTTGCTGAATATATCTTTTGAGCATAACAGCTCTTAGAAGATTGTGGGAAGTGGGGTAAAAGTGTATGAATGGCTTTTGAGTAACATTTTTTCCTTCCTGAAATGATCATCTTGGCAAATATGAAAGCTGTTTCCTAAAGGTTTAGAAATACACCCACGTCCCCGGACACTCTTTAGGAAAAGGTGCTTTATTCATTCATGCAACCACTTCGTAGTACTGCAGAGTGATTGCATTTCCACAGCAGTAAGCAAGACTGAGTCAGAGTGAAACTGCACCGTCAAGATCTCTGACATGGCAAAGGAAATACAGGTAAACACAGTACAGTATCATCAGTGCGCAGGCCAGAGTTTCCTTTATGGAATGGACACATCTGGCTTACGATCTTTGTACATCAAAAAAACAAAACCAGTTCCAAAACAGGGAGGAGGGAATTGCGCAAGACAGAACCACTCTCAATTATCTTGGTGTCAGACTGTCATGACTCCACTGAGACCCATGGATTGCTCAAAATAAGAGGTTTGGAAACAAGAAACGTGTCCGCAGTGGGAAGCGAGGAGTCCTTGGTACATGCAGTGCTGACAGCTGCCCTGACTCCTGCCAAGGCAGGAATAAATCCTGCCTCAGCCCAGAAGCTTGATCCAGCCACAATCAAAGCTCAGACTCCATCTGATGTCTGTGCTGGGAAATCGAGATCCCCATGTACTCAAAGGCCCATTGCTAGCTTGCGTTCCTAAAAAAACTATCAACACCTAAACCATACACATCCTTCTAAGACACCAAACTAAATGGATTTAATTCCTTGCTTTTGTTACATGATACAAGCTGCTTACTGGGCAGCCTTAGAAGATTGCCTGGGCACAAGCACGTCCTGAAGCGCTGAGTTAGTTCAGCACAAGACTGCCTACAGAGCGGCTCGGAGGCATTGCCTAGGTAAGAAAATTGCACCCACTTACTTTTCGACATAAATTCAGATCCATTTACTAAACTGAAGCGGCCTTCAGAAGACAGTCTTGGCAGTGAACTTTACTGACCTGAAGCAGATTCAGATTAATCCAAAATAGACCAAAAAAACTCCTAGTGTGAGAGCCAAGACTGAAATCAGAGAAAGTTTGGATTGTATCAGTGGGAAATGAATTGTGTTTAAAATTACTCATTTTTGACTGAGCCTTCTTATGCTGCTCTTTCTTCTTCTTCCTCATAACTTCTGGCTGGTGGTCAAGAGAAGAAACCACACTGATGCACTAGAGCAGGGGAAGAAAAAGGGATCATTAAGTATATGACGCACTGTGAGTCAGATAAAACTTCTAGTGTACCTGTAATGATTCAATAGAAACATTCCTTCTTACGTTCTTAAAAAAGAAAAAAAAAGAAAAAAAAGCAACACTGACAACAAAAGGAAAACAAATCAAAACACAAAATCCCACATCATCTCCATATTAAGAAAAGTTGCTTTAGGGCTTTCAAGTTACTTAAGTTTTATCCCTTTGCACTCACTCATACATACTCCGACACCAAAATGTCATGGTTTTTCCTCCTAAAATAATAAAAAAAATCTTAACATAAAACAATGGTAACAAGTAATACTTCACATTTTTCAAGCATTTTTTGCAACAATTTCCTTCACAGAGATTTGCAAATTCAGATTAACAGAGGTTCAGTGCAGCAAAGGAAACAAGAAATGAAGTGACTTGTGTTCAAAGCAATCAATCAGAGAAGGTCTGGGAAGAGCAAATTATTTTAAAATAACACAAGACCTTTCAAAGAAAACTCTCATTTCAGAAAAAGCTAAGTTAATCTCCACTTTCTCTTTCTTGGATAACAGATGCTCAAATTTGTAATCAAAATCTTTGTCACAAGGAAGCAGGAATATGTGTGTGTATAAATATCTATAGAAAGAAAGAGAGCGAAAGATAGCATGCATGCACTATAGAAAAATGGAAAAGGAGAGAGACGTCAGGGGAATTATCTTCAGCACTGACGTGGTAATTTTTATCAGAGCTGGGACAATAACTCTCATTTGACACAATACACCCAGTTCACAGAGCCAGCACTGGCTTGTGGGGGGTTAGTGTAAGATTATCCTTTTACAGGAAACAAAAAAGCACTAAAGTGAGCCAGAAACACAAATATGTGAATGAAAATGAGTTAGGCCCTTTGTCGTTATCACATACACCACATACCAGCAGAGAGAAACACCCTGCAGCAGGCAGGAGCACCGTAAGCGTGCCCGCTCCCTGCTCAGAGCCCATCTGCGGGGAAGCAACTCTTCAGCCGTTCCCTTCTCTCGAATGCAGCAGACATTACTTCTATATCCTTGAGGAAAGAGAGGCCACAATCTTTTTTTTTTTTTTTTAAAAGAATTTGCTCAGTTGTTCCTTTGTTGATCCCACCTTGCTTCATCTGTTTTTTAAAAGCTCTTAAGGTACTGACATAAACACTTCTCCCCACAAATTTTGAATGCAAAATTAAAAATAACACAAAGCGAGAGCTTGGAAGGAGTTCCTTTAACTTCCAAAATAAGGTGTAGGGGGAAAAACGTGTGTTGGGTTGTGGTACAAATGGATATAGCTCCTACTATGTGCTTCTTCAACACTAGTTAAACCCTTGCACAGTTCCCCTGGGCTTTCATCATCAGTGTAACACAAATCCCAGGACACAGAGAATCCTGGACTGCAATCTTAGGACCAGAGGTATCACCTCCCTGCATCAGGCCGCAAATCAGCCACCCCAAAGCCTGTTTCTGACATTGGTCACGCCAAGGTACTTGGATGAAAAGCGAAGCAGCAGCGGGCAAGTCCTCCTGGCTAGCGGATGACCTGGTGCCCACATAAGCAGCAGAAAAAAAAACCACGGCTGCCCTGCCAGTGCACCAGGATCAGGGCAGCCTGGTCGTGTTTGCCCGTCCTAACAGGCAGCAGGAGTTGGCTCAGCTGCTTTGCGGCACGCTCAGCCCTGCGCTGCACTGGGAGGAGGCGAAGGCTGGGTCGGAGCCTCACGTCCCATTCCCGGACCCTCGCTCTGCCTGAGGCCATCCGTGGTTCGGCCTCTGCTGCGGTGCACACGCGCACCTCCAAGCAAATCAGCTGAGAGGCGTGCTGAAAAAGCCACTACTGTGAAATACAAAGGGTTTCATTCTTGGTACAAGATGAACAAAGAAACTATAAGTTGTGCAGCTGAAAATGAAACATCCTGAAGGCACCTGAAATTAAAAGGAGGCACATTCTTGTTTCTAATGGTCAGGGGAAAAGGGGAGAGCTAGGAAGATGTGCGTATTGGTTAATGGCAGTACTTGGGACCTGAGCAGCAGTTCACAGCAAGCTGGACTGGAGTCTTTCACTGAGTCCCACACTGTTCTCCCTGACAAATTCTTTACGGAACTAATCAAATTAGTATGTATTCAAATAACATACTACCTGAAGTGTGGGAACATAGTCTCAAGCTTGCTAAGTCAGTAAATATTCCCGTTGACCTCAGCAGACCTAGGCATTAACCGAAAGAAAAATAAGATTTAAGATCATTATTTTATGTGTATTTATAGGATATCATTAGAATGCCAAAGGAGGAGGCAATCTAATTGTACAAGTCATTAAAAGCAATAAGACTGAATTATGCATGGTACTGGGGATCCTAAATATAGGTATGATATAGAGATTTAAAAATGGAAACACTTTTTTCCCCTAACAATAGGGCATTCAGCTAAAAATAAAAGATAACCATGAGAATGCAGAAGTAAGCTCACACAGCACCTTCTCTTGTTCTCATTATATCTGAAGCTTTCCTCTTTAGCCACATTCAAATTTACAAGAAGCAAGCAATGAAAAAAAAATGCAAAGCCTAAGCATAAAAGATTTGATGGGGTGTGAGGACAGGAGAGGAGAGGAGCAGGGTCGAGAACAGGAAACCCAAGTTGACGGGAAACCCAAGTGACATTTGGGTTTAATGAATGACTTAAAACCCCAATATTACTCTTCAGGAAATGGGGAGAGGAAATTGAGAGATGTTTTGAGAGTATAAATGAGGGGCTCCATCAAGGTGAAAGCTACAGATCTGCTTTTTACCTCCTGTGAATCTGAACTGAGAACTGGACCTAGAGGAAAGAAACTCAGCTACAGAATGAAAACCTGCACAGTAATTGTTTTCCTGCTCCTGGCTGCCAGCGTCGAGTACGCCAGCTGCTTGCACACTGAACCAAGCTGTGCTCACTTCTCTGAACTTCTGCCTGCATATCTCCGAGACCTGAGGATCAAGTTTGAGGAAATTAAAGATTATTTTGTAAGTAAGACATCAACTAGTCTCTTCTCCTCCTTGCCTTTTTTTTTTTTTTTTTTTTTTGCTGCAAAGTTCAGTGATTTGGATGACAGGGGGGAGAGCTTCCTCCAGACAGAAAGGATTTTGTTGTGTGTTACGGGCTTGCAGGTGGGAGCAGGAGAAGTAGTTTAGTTTCATTGCTTGCTGAGAAAAAACATGCAAGGGTTTTCTTCCTAGTTTTAATTACAGTGAACTCAAGAGCTTTCACAATGAATTTTATTGCATCTTACTATCCAGACTTCCCCCTAAATGTTGCAGACCAACTTATTCATTGAATGAATAGGAAGAAAATACAATCATCTTCATGGCAATTAGGTCCAGCCTCACTGAAGTCAGTGCTGGACGAAAAGGGAAATCTTTTGCTACAGACTTCTTTTTTGAAAGAACAAATACTGAATTTACCACCAAAGCCTGAACAAAGTACTTCATGACTGGAGAAACTCTACAATAACTAGCACTGTAAAAGAGCACGTCTTTGCATTGCAGCAAAAGGGAGCCTCAAATTTGCTTAGAAAGCACTTATGATATTCATAGCATTTGTCATTGCAGAGATGTTTGGTCACATCTGTATTGCTATTTTTGTTATTGCCGGTATCTTTTGACAACACATACAATTACAATTCTCCAGATAAAATCCCAGAGTAAAGGTATGGCTTGTGTTTATTACCAAACTAGCATAGAAGATGGGATTTAAGACTTGGATTTAAAGCTTGCTGTAAATCTCTGAGTTAATGTTAGGAATGAACATTTATAATCTCTTAGAAAACATCCTGTTAAGTGCCTTGGTCCCATGGGATGATACCTCAGGTGGTGTCAGCACACCCCACTGTAGCTGCCTGGTCCTCTAGAGTTAATGGTGCAAGAGAGGCACTACAAGAAAAAATACCCTCCAGATATGCCTTTACTCCACTGATTGTAGACTTACAGAAATAACTGAGACAATTAGGTTAAACTGTCTTGCCTGGGTAAGCATGCAAACGGACAGGATACAGTGGATAATTCACTGCAAGCAGCTGTCAGAATTTTGACACCTGTCTGGAAAGCGGAGCGTGATGTGGTTTGCAAGCAGCACTGTTATGTAAACACTGCCTGAAGCTGAAAAAAGGATGCAGTGCTTGAAGCAGAGGTAGAAGTTGTCTACCATAAATGCAATAAATCACACTAGAGGTTGTGATTTCATTATCTTGCTGTCTTTGGACCCCAGAATAGTTGCACTGCAACATTACGGGCCAAAGAATTGATGATTCCTAGTATTAGTATGTTACATACACAAATACCTTTGTGTGCTTTTTTCCTTTCCTTCACTGAGACCACAAATGCAGACAAGCAAAACAATCATTCGGTAAGACAAAGACACTGCTGACTGCCTGTTTAAGTAAAGCTTTTCTATTGCACACTTCCACAGCAATCGAAAGATGATGAACTTAGCATCCAGCTGCTCAACGCTGAATTACTGGATGAATTTAAGGTAAGAATTTTGCCGTTTCCTGGAATATAATTCTCATCCAAGTCCATTATCCTTCTTCATCCTTTAAAAAGGGAACCAGACTGTAAACTGAGGCTACTGTGCCAAAAGGGACAGCTCTCAAGTCACACTGTAATAAGTGTCTCTGTGGCAGGGCTGACGCCTGCTTACCTCTGTGCTACAGCCACCAAAGAATGGCAGTAACATGCTGTAGGAGCTGTGAACACATATTTCCGTAGAGCTGAGCTCCTTGCCAGTGATTTTAAAAGCCGTTAGGTGTATTTGGCTTTCCTCCCCTTTTGCGGCTGGCACTGACAGCATCTGCCCTTCTCCCCCGGGGCCCCTTCGCCTGCCAGTCCGTGTCGGAGACCATGCGCTTCTACGTGGAGGAAGTCCTGCCGAGGGCTGGGAGAGCCAGCGTGCACCACCAGCAGAGCCTGAGCGACCTCGGCAACATGCTGATGAGCCTGAAGGCAACGATGAAGCGCTGTGTGAGTAGGATCCGGGCAGACAGCGGGGAGAGGAGGGGGTCTGGCCCAGTGCAAAGGCAGGCAGGCACCCCAGGCTGAGGAGCAGGGACCCCGTGCAGAGCGGAGAGCCAGGCCAGCTGGCTCCATAAATATGTGGTTCCTCCTGGCCCCTGCTCTCTGGGCTTTATCAGTTAAATACTGAATATTTGCAGGCTATGCTTAGGAGCGCTACTTTTTTTTTGAAATTGCAACCGGGTGACCCCCGCCAGGCGAGGAGGAAGGGGAAGTGGGAGGCCAGCGGATGGCACGGCGAGGGGTGGGAGGAGGAAAGCCACACTCTGGGGAGAGCCGCTCTCCCTGCCCGCCGGGGCTGAGGCTGTCCCCGGCCAGGGCAGCGCGTGCACCTGGAAGGAAAGCCATCCAATTAAAATTGGTGCCTCTTCCCTTTGCAGCACAGATTCTTCACGTGCGAGAAGAGGAGTAAAACTCTAAAGCACATTAAGGAAACGTTTGATAAGGTAGGTCTCCGCTCGCCTGGCTATAGCTCCCTTTCGGAGGAATCCTCCATCCTAGTCACGTCAGTGGATTTTACCATGGAGTTCAAATTAGGACAGAGTGAGAATCCAAAATTCAGAAGACTTTAGTTATGTAAATACATCAACCATAATCCAGTAAGCGATGCCCAAAGCAGCTTGTATATTTTGGTGGATGGGTTGGGGAGAGAAAAACTATGAGGCTTAGATTCAGAGAAAACTTTAAAAAGGATAAAGAAGATAACCGAGCTCCTTAAGGTTTTCTCAGAAAAATATCAGGTAAACTGCTTAAATTGTAGGCAGAGAATCGCTACAAACACACTGCACGTATCTACACACAGACACAAAAGGATTAGTTATAAATTATTTCTAAAAGTTGGTATGCAATATGCTAGTGTGATATGTAACGCAGAAAAAGGAATACATTCTCCCAAAATCATAATTACTCACTATAAGTGGTTTTGCACTCCCTTTATACTGATTTTCCACAAATAATTTGTCTGTGAAGATTTCAAAACAGAATCTTGCCGAAATCCATCTTTGAACTAGTCATTACAAGTATTTGTGCTGAAGAACAGAAATGCATCATATGCCCAATATCTCCAAATGAATCAGCTCCAACATCTAGTTCACAGAAAGATCGAAGACAAGCCACATATTCGCATGTGTTCCCTGTGAACTAATTGCAACGTAGAGATTACAGCAGAACGAGACTGTTTCTAGTCACTCTACATTAACACATAACCTTACATTCATACTTGAACTCAAACTGTAACGTTGTAGAATTATTACTTCTTGCTGAATTGTAGAATTATTATCTATTGACCTAATTTTAAAATTATTAATGAATTAAAAATTATGTATTAACTTTCACCTGATAGATGAATGAGAATGGAATCTACAAGGCAATGGGAGAATTTGACATTTTCATCAACTACATCGAAGAATACTTGATGAAGGGAAGGAAGTGAAACGGTCCACGGGTCTGCATCTTTCACACAACCTTGCTATTTTTCAGAAATAACATTAGGCTCTAAGAGCATATGAGAGACTAAGTTATCTTATGGCTCAGGTCAAAAGTTACAGGTCAATAACAACTTAAAGTTTAATATCATATTTAAAATAGTTATTATTTTACAAAAAGAGTTTAATATTTATTACCTCTAATACCTCAGTGTTTATGTTTACAAATTTTTTTGAAGAGTGATGAGCTTTTAAACTATTATTTATTGTTCAGTATATTTGTGCTGTTCATGCTTGTGTTATTTTATTCATAGCTTCAAAACACCCAAAGCTGCACTCTTTTGGGGAGCAGACAATGAGCCAAATTTATCCCGAGTCCAGCTTGACTGAACAAGGTCAGCCTGAACAGGAGCTCTTCCAGCTCTGCGTTCAGCAAAGTTTATTTTTAAACATCTGTGTATGTGTGCTTCACTGAATGAGCACTCTCCTCCTAGTCTATCCATCTATTTATTCATGCAGTCCAATTTTTCTATGCATAACCTTGTCAGTGTCTCTGGTTCTGCAATTGGAATTAGACACTTAAATATTCAAAATTACTCCATGGCCTTACACTGAGCAATATAATCATAAAAGGAAAAGGCCATTTTGTCTCCTTTGCATGGAAAGGAATGTGGAGGAGGAGGGTCTGCACTGCAGTGAACAACATGGGATAATGCCACAGAAATAGCTTGATTAATTCCACCCCTTGTCTTCATCCTGTATTAGTCTAGATTATAGAAGAAATAGTAATAGGAATTAAATATTTGGTTCTAATAGAACCTACTGTTAAACGTTGCTAATCATTGACTTTCAGAGCTGCTGAGTTCTGACACTCTGCACCTTTGAAAATTAATCCTAATATTTTCCAGTCTTTGACTGGGTTTTATTCACTGTTTGGTTTTTTTGTATTGGGGTTGTTTTTTTAAGAAGTTAGAGGACATTTAATTAACCACCATTTTAAGGTGGCTTTGGTAATTTGCATTCAAATTCATAAAGCTGACATTGTGTTGTTTTGTTTTACTTCTAATTTTATGAACTAGGAGTTGCAGCAGGCAAACGCTCCACGGCAAGGGTTGTGACCTTTCCAGAGCAGTTTTCCTTGCCAGAGCAGGTTCAGACACCCTGAGAGCCACTTGTTTCAGAGGTCCCCTTCCTCCTTGCCCCCGGACGCCTGTGTGCCCCCATGAGCATCACAGGATGCTGGGCAAGAGGACAATGTAATAACCCATAGGCGTTTGCTTCTAATATTTAGAAGCATTAGGGCAACAGTATCATGAAACACTGTCAGCTTGTCATTGGCTTTTCTATAATTTTTAAGTCACCACTGAAGAGAGGCTATTGATATGTCATTTATTCTATTTTCACGTTTACTGCAATAGAAGGATATTCCTGCT